GGGTTCTGATCAACATTAAATCAGAACAGTATCAGCAATTTACAACTTTCTGTGCAGATCTGTCAAGCACAATAAGTTCTTGGTTGCTATTAGCAAATTTTCATCAAGGTTCTTCATTTCCCTTGTTCTGTATATCACGTATACTGTACATATGAGACATCTAACTGCACTAATAAATATTGCTTTTACAATATAGTAGAAATAGCCAGACATAAAGTTTATAGGAACTACTTTACATTTTACAAGAAACCTGAGTTTCTCCAACTGGAGTCTAGTGCAAAAAGATACTTGAAATTAAATGATATTTATTATTAATAAATATTTTCACACAGAGATCTGTTTCTTTATCCAATGTATATTAGCATTTTAATGAAGAAGACAGAGAAAGTAGCTTCTGCTTCTGTTTCTGCTACTTTTGCCACTGTTAAACCAGCTGAAGCCAGACATGCTTCTAAGTCCACTGCAAATGACTATCAGGAGGGGTTTATCTGAATTTCCAAGCTGGTAGAGAATTGGAATTGTGTTTCCAACGCATCAGGAGGGTATCAGATAATTTCAGAAAAGTCTTTCTTATTATTTGCTTTATCACATAAGTATTCCAATTTATCCTTCATTATTAAATATCCATACACAGGTAAGGAGAATGATCATTTCTGGGGAAAAATCAAATCTTTTTATAATTTTCTACTTTGGTTTAGTTTAGCAGAAATATATTGCATATTGTTTTCATTGATAATTCTATTTACTTGATGGAGTGAGATTCATTAAATGATTGGGTACTTATTTGCCTCTCTGCCAAAAATGGAACCAAATGCTATTTTTAGACTTTGGGTGAAAGGTGACTTAGTGAGATATATAAAGAAAAAATATCCAGCTACAGCAAATTATCTTCTTTACAAATATACAACTTTCAATTTGTAAAAATAAATTATATCTTGGATATATCCCACCTCAGAAAGTCCCCTTTGCACGTAAAATGAATGAGTCACTTGAAAAAAAACTAATAAATAAGCATAGAGCAATAATACTCATATTTTGCCAGACCATTGAGGCCAATTTAAGAGGCCAATTTAAATGTGTCGTGTTGCCCCTTCAGGTCCTTAGTGTTCAGCATCTTTCATTTTGGGCTGTGGGCTCCCACCAAAACTCAGATTGCTGATCTTCTTTTCCTGTTTTGCCGTACTAGAGAGATCAATTGCAATATCTTCTGAACTGTCCATTGAGATTAATTTATTAGTGGGGTTTTGTTCATATTCTGTCTGCTTAATTTTGAATTCCTCCTCAGGATATTCAGATTTCCAGCTGCCATTTCCTTTTTCCTCGTTTTCAGGCTTTCTTATAATATTTATTGATTTTTTATGCATTCCTAAAAGAAATAAAAATTCAGTTTTATTATACAATCATCCTGTACACCCAATAGATCAATGCAATTATGCAGTAATTCAATTCCTGGGCCACTTGTTGTAATACTGAGAAACAGGGAAAGAAAAATTCCTTTTTGCTCCCTTTTTTTCGGACCCATAAATGGATTGGCACCAACCACACTAGAAGAGACACGAAATAAATGCAGTAGTTTCTGTTTCTCATGGATGAACAGATCTAGTTTTGTGTGAAAGCTAAAATATCAGTTTTCAGGAGGGGAGGTCTTCTGGCTATGAATATCAGTTTAAGCTATGGAAGCTCTCTCTCACCCAACCCACCTCACAAGGTGGTTGTTGTGGGGAAAACAGCAGGAGAAAAGAGTATTATGTAGGCTTGCCATCTTGAGTTACTTATAAAAGTAATACCAGTGGAATAAAAAAATAATGCATACATACATCCATGGTTCTGTATCTCACACTACATTTATATTAAATTATGAAGATCAGTTAATGTTTCTCAAACCTGAAAACTGCATGTCAGATTATATGAATGGTAAGAAATACCAAATTCCACTACTCACAAAAATTTAGCTTTCTTAGAACAGAAAATGTTATGGGTAGCTATAGGCAGAAAGTAAGAAATTTAAAATATGTGTGTTGTGTCTGCATGTGCTTTTGCACAGACACGTGTGTGTGTGTGTTATGTATATATTGAATAGGCACTCACATGCACAGATATGTGCACAGTTAACTACTACAATCATACACACACAGGTCATCCTCAATTTACGACCACAATACCGACCAGAAAATTCATCATTAAGCAGCAAGGTTGTTAAGTGAAGCATAATGTGACCGCACCTGATTTTTAACCTTTTGCGGTATGGTTGTTAAGTGAATCACAGTTAATAAGCAAGACATCAGGCAATTGCGACTTGCAATTGAGACGCTGTGACTATTGTAAATGCATGATGGTGGCCAAGCACCCGAAATCATGATCACAGGACTGCAGGGATGTTATGACCGTTGTAAGTGTAAGGATCAGTTACGAGCCTCTTTATTCAGTGCTGTCCTTGTTGCTAAACAAATGGTCATAAGTCAAAGACTATTTGTACAGACACAATATAGGATTCTTGTTAAGAGAAGACCCGCTACCCTCCATTAGTATTAGAAGGCAGATTTAATAACCTCTGTAATGATGTTACCAAGTGCAACGTTTTAAAGAGTCATTCTACTGCTAGTCATCAATTTAGCCTGTGTGAAAGAAGGAAAAGGATACTTTCAATGGGAAACAATAGTACTTAGTCATTTTTCCATGTAGTCAAATATTAACCACCTATACACTGACAACATTATAGACACGCTTACCCAACAGCCAAGGGGCACAGGAACCAACCATTCCACTTTTGGCAGAATTGATAATTGATTCTGGAAGTGGGATGGAGTGCCTCACCATGGCACCGTAGAGACCATATTCGGCCATCACACTACTGCGGCCCCAACATTTCTCACGCTTCCGCCACTTGGCTCTTCGGTTTTGAAACCAAACCTTTCAAAAGTAGAACCAGAAACACACATTTAGCAATAATGTGCATGAGTGGGATTGAAAGGAGGGGAGAGAACAGTATATTAAACAAACATGGCAGATGAACAAAACTTACTGATCACTTGGTCAGCATAAATAAAACAAAGGGATTTTATAAGCCTTTTGTCAAATCAAAAAATTGTCTAATTCATTCCTACTGGAATAACAATATTTTCCTTATCCTTTCATTGGTTTTTATGTGAAGATATTGCTTGGAGAAGTCAACTAATAGGTTGATTTCCATTTCCTGTTGCTATTAATATACTAAACCCTGATGCTTATTTTTTTTTATTAGGCTTGTCCCAAAGGTGCTTTTCAAAAGGCAACTGGACTTTCTTGGTTTTTTTTCCCTTGAAGATGTTTCGCTTCTCATCCAAGAAGCTTCTTCGATTCTGAGAACTCTTGGGTGAGAAGCGAAATGTCTTCAAGGGAAAAAAAACAAGAAAGTCCGGTTGCCTTTTGAAAAGCACATTTGGGACAACCATGATTGGATGATTGAAAATTTCCACAGACACTTTCATGAGGCTCCTTTCTCTAAAATTTAATCCTGCTGAACAGTGAATGCATAGGGTCCATGTTCTATACAGGACTTGATAATATTTTTTTCAGGCTAAGGCAACATGAAGCTTTTGAGTAGTATGAAGAAAACAGCAATCCCCAAAGTGGGCGAGAATGGCAAAAACTATTTAATCGTTTGTAATTTAATTCAGTACAATTGATGGAAAGCCCCCCTGCCCAATGCATTGAATACTTCCCTTTTGGCCAATTTTCAGGTAAACACTCAGTTTTGGAGGGTAGAGGGTGCATCTCTGTTTTGTACCAAACAATAAACAGCCGCATGTACATAGAGAAAGTTTGGCTTCTCTTTTCAAATCAGGATTCAGATGAGAAAATTTTAAAGAACAGTCATACTCTAGGATTTCATTATGATGGCATATTAATATTTAAGTGGGCCTCTCCCTCTATAAATATACCAAAAAGTAGCCAATCATTCTCTATTTCCAAAATTTAGATTCACAGGCCTATTTGTATTTTGTCATTTTTCAAGTCAACCCTGAGATAAAGGATTGATGTGAAAACCCTGAGATAAAGTATGTTATAGATTGCAACTAATATCTTACCAATATTTTTCTGTAGATCTAAAAAGTTTACTCAGTCAAACTGTACTCATGTTGAATAACAGTCAAATGACCAATAGATTATTTAACTTAGCCTTCTGTACTATGGCAAGATTTGCAAAGGTAGCATAATTTCTTAGAGACTTTCATCTAGCCTCCCCTGAACCCATAATTGTCAATTTCAAATGGTTCTGAATTGAATTCTCCCAAAGAGAGAAAAAAACAAAATCAGTTCTAGATGTGAGTTGCAATAGCAGCTACTTATAGAGCAAGCCCTTCTCCTGGAATGTCTGCATGATACAGTCAAAAAAGTCATGATGGTTCATTCAAATCCCTGTGTCACACATGTGACACACACATAAAAATAGAGTGTTGATCGCATGGTCACATCTTGCTACCATCTTGCTATTTTGACCACACCTTATAGACACCTCAGCCCTTCTCTCTGTTAAGTTTTCAAACCCTGAACATTCTTCAATATTTTCTGTAAAACCATCTTGGAAATGTCAAACCTAGGTACGTCTGGAAGGGTCCGGGCCTTACGTTTGTCTATTGTATCAAACAAATCCAGTGGCACTGGACACAAAACAACCTACCTGTATTCTATCCTCAGGCAATTCAGTTTTCATTGCTAACATTTCTCTGGAATATACATCAGGGTAATGAGCTTCATTAAATGCCTTTTCCAATTCCTCCAGCTGATGGGCAGTGAACACAGTCCTATAGGGACAAAAATAAAAAACAGCCCAATGCAGCATCTTAAATGAGAAATATGCTCCTGTAGAACCAGATGTATAAACTAAAAGTTGTATTTAATCTAGGGGGGCCCTTAATGCTTACTGAGCTTGATTGTTTTCTTACAAACATTTCATCACCATATGGGATAACAACATCAGTGCTGTAGTAGGGAGCAAAAACAGTCTTTTTAAAAAGAGTGGGACCTCTCTTCCCCAATCACCACCAACTGGAATTGACCAGAGAGAAAAGTGATGACTTAGTACAACACTGTTCCACATACTCTTCTGAGTGCCCCTTGGTGTTGTGTGCTCCATTGAGCCAATCCAGAAGGAGACCATGTTCAATGGTATAAAAAGCTGCCAAGAGGTTAAATAGGGCAAGAACTGATGTAGAACCCCCATCCCACCCACACCAGAGATCATCCAAAAGCATGAGCAATACCATTATAATCTTATACCCAGGTCTGAACGCTGACTGAAAAGGATCAAATTAATCTGGTTCATCCAAGGTCCTCCAAAACTGTTTTACAACCATCTTCTCAATCACCTTCCCCAAACACTGGAGGTTAGATACGGGACAAAAAATATTCACTCTGGTGGGCTTTAGTGATGGCTTCCTGAGAAGGGGCAAACCAAATCTTCTTTAAGAAGTAAAGGAAGCCCTCACTCAAAGAAGAGTTAACCACTGCTGAAACCCACTCACACAACACTCCCCTGGCCCATTTTAACAAGCTAGTAAAGGCATGGATCTAAAGAACAGGTGGCTAAGCCCACAGTTTTAAGGACCTATCCGCTTCCTCAAGTCCAATAGGTTCAAACTGTTCCCAGATAACTGGGCAAGATTCTTTTCCAAGCATCTCCTATGAACCTGTAACAAGGCCAGTTCCATCTGCAAGCAAATCAAGTTACTTTCTCCAGCTGATTCTGAATAAATTCCTCTGCATACTCCTGCAAGAGGTTCATTAAGCCTCCCTTACCCAAGATGGTTCTTATTACTGCGGGGCGGCTATCTGCAGAGGCAATAAGGGTGAAGTACTGACACTTCACCACTCTTAATGCCACAAGGTAGGACTTAATAGTGGTTCTATACAGCTTCAGATGGATCATGCAGCAGATCAACAGGAACAATCCCCAGCTCCCTCTGAAACCCATCCAGGTCCATCAGTAACTGGGGACAGACAAATCTAATGGGTCCAGCCTCCCTGCAGTGGCACTAGAAAATCACATAGAAATCAGGGTGTGATCTGACCATGACGAAGACGACATCTAGAGCTCCCCCAATTTCAGCTCACATAGCCACTGCACTATGTGACAGGAACAGCACATCTGGTGTATAACCGCTGTTCTATGTTTGGTTCTGGATGATCTGGGATAAGCCCACAGTCATCTTGGTAACCATGAATTCCAGAGTTACCTAAGATCCTCCGTGCAGGGAAGGTGGATTGAAGTTCCCTAGAACCAGAGGTCTGGGGAATTCTACTGCCAACCAAGAAATGAAGTCAATTTGCTCAGGCAGGGACGTTGCTATACAGCAGGGAGACTGGTGAATCCCAACCAATCTCTAGGGCTCAATTTCGTGAACAGGGCCTCACATCCAGTGACCTGTGGGTCCAGCACCCTTTAAAGCTGTAAGATTCCCAGATGATAATCATCACACCCCCATCCCTGCCCTACAGCTTTGCCTGATGCCATACCCCAAACCCAGCGGGGCATATCTCCAAAAGGATTGTCCGCCTTTTGGACCCTACAGTTTTGGTAATACAAGCCAGGTTGGCCCTCTTATCAATGATTAAATCATTATGTGGGACTTCTTATGGGCTGACCTGGCATTTACGGCCTGCTGAAAGGGTACCAGGATTGAGACCGCAAAATGAGCTGGAATGTGAACTGTCTCGCATTCCCTGAGAGCAGCCCACTCCCTGTCTCCCACCATATTTCCCCCTGCCTTTCACATTCATAACTCTATTGCTCACAGCCACAGCCACCCCAGAAGTCAATGCAATCATATATTATAAAGCTATTATAATAATTTTTGGAATATTAATGCAACATATCCTAATGCTAATACAGAAAATATTGCAGCTGTATCCCCATATATCCAGCATGAGTTGCTTTTTGTACCTGTGCCGCCGTTTCTTTCTCTTGATCTGAGAGTCAGATGTCTTCAGGTTGTTCTTTTCTCCTGATAAACTATCTTCATCTGTTGAAGATGTTGGTGGACAGCGGGGGAGGAGAAGGGGCAGGGGAGAAGAGATGTGTCAAATCTTTTTTTCACTATAAGCATTGGTCCATACAGTAGGATTATTTTATATATTCTTGTTTTCCTTCTATAGCCCTACTTTTAAAAATATTTCTCAGTTTTCCTTTTTCTTAGACAAATGAATCAGGATCACAATTAAATTAAGTTGTTGTTGTTTTTTAAATTCACAGTTTTAAAAAATCTAACAAGCATTCAGCAGTAAAACCAAAAAAAATAAAAAAATACCACACACATACTAATAATCTCTTCATCATTCCTGATATAGCAATAACTAAGAAACAAAGTTCATCTTGGACAGCAACCAGGATTGGCAAGTAGCCAGCACTGATTAAAACTCTCTTCCCAGTCAGTCGTTAGGAATATAGGTCAGCCAACTCTACCCATGTCCATCCTTAGGAAAAAGGAGAGGGCAGTGTTTTTCAACCCCCATACCTTTAAGATATATGGACTTCGACTTCCCAAATTTCTCAGCCAATATTTAGGGAGTAAGGAGTACTGCCAGAAAGTTTGGCTGTTCAGCATCAGGAGAACAGCTAGAATAAATGAGCCAATTTCTGCAAAGCTAGTGTAGGAGCAAAGTTGGAGGCAATCCAACCAGTCTACCAAAAGATCAAGAAAAAGGAGAAGAAAATAGAGTGAGCCATGCTGATCCCTCCAAGAACCATCCCTAAGCACAGCAAGGATATCATCCTTTGCTTTTTCATATTAACGAAAGAATAAAGATATTCAAAATCAGAGATGATATGAAAATGATCGTTCCCTTTAATGCAACTATTTACACCTGAGTTCTCTTTAATCCATAACTGGTTTCTCTTCAATATATGCCTACAGGTTTTACCAAACCAAAGACAAAGATCTGTCTCTAATGTAATAATTTCAAAACTCAGTAGTATCTTAGTATTCTCTTTTCTTCATACATGCACCCTTTAATTTCTCTGTGATGGCCTAAATTTTTCAGTGGTGAGTTCCATAACATAATGGAATTTGAATTTGTTTGAATTTTTCCTAAATATCTGGCATACCACTATTCCTCCAGAAGAACCGACATGCCTATTGCAGATGTTTGACAAGGAACATGGGAAGATAGGATGCATGAGGCAAAAAAATATAATTTCCAAATTCTGGTGTAAATATTTAATATCTACAAGACTAATTACCAAAATATAAATCAACATATTTTAATCCATTGTCTCCTGCACGAATGCTCCTAATTTACTCATCCCATTGATTCTTTTAAGTTGAATATTTTCACATATCTCCATATCCACAAGTCTTTCATAAAAACCTTCTCCTTAGAATTGCCCTCTGATGAACTTGTGTAAATATATTTACACCACCCATATGGGAAAATGTATATATATGTTCTCTGACAGAACAATTGACCAGTGGAACAACCTGCCTCCAGAAGCGGTGAATGCTCCAACACTGGAGGTTTTTAAGAAGAGACTGGACAGCCATTTGTCTGAAATGGTATAGGGTTTCCTGTCTGAGCAGGGGGTTGGACTAGATGACCTCCAAGGTACCTTCCAACTTTATTATTATTATTATTATTATTATTATTATTATTATTATTATTATTATTATTATTATTATTATTATTATTATATGTAAATATCTTGCTGTTCAGAAAGTTATGAAGTTTGCTACATAAGATGTAGTGTGGGAGATCAAAGCTAAATAGATTGCGGATGAGATAAGGCTATCAATGGCTAATGAATATAATAGCTATATCTTACTCTCAGTATCAGAGAAACTTGTTTTTAATTAACCACTTTGAGTTGGCAGTAAAAAAAGGTAAGAGCACAAATCAAATGAATAATAATAAACTGTTTCTGAACACCAGCTGCTGGGAAACAATAGCAGGAAGAAGCCACTGGGCTCATGTCCTGCTTGTAGACTTTCCATGGATATTTATAGAAAACTGGGTAATTTAGATCTTTGTTCTACCTTATGTTCTACAGAGTTGCTGTATATCAAATTGATTCTAGACTAGATCTAATTTTCAGTACTAAGCCCTGAAATTTGTGAAGGAGAAAGAGAGAGGGACAGAGTCTTTGAACATGTAGTTTTTCACTATCCAAATCCTAAACATCTCCTTGTGTATTTTTATTGTCAGGAATTGACTTCTTTGTCAAAAGGGACTAGTGTTGGAAATGAACTCTAGATTACGTACAGAGTTGACCACCTGCAGACATGTGAGATCATATGAAGTGGCTTAAGAATGATAGTGCAGAAATTGGTGGAACAAGTCATTAATTTCTCAAACACATACTCATATGCACTGAAGATCAAGTTTGTCGTGGAAATATTCTTCTAGAAACTTGGCCTGTGAACTATGTGCATGTTTTCCTGAGTACACAGATTCAATTGAACTCAATGGGCATTGCTTCCAACCTGACCAAGATTGTTTTATTAATTTCAAAATGGTAGGTGTTGACTATAGTCACTCAAAAGCAAGGTCCATTCCTCTTGCCTCAGACTGTTTATCACCTTTATTGCCTTCATACTTCAGAAGACACATATCTCCATAATTTTAGATAGCACCAATGGGGGGAAAAGATACTTAGAGCTACATTTAATAGATACAAGCAGCAGCACCTTGAAATCCCTGTTCAAACTACCAAGCTCATCCTCTGGCTATGGTGAAGGCCATATTTCTTGGCCTAAAACACAGGACAGGAATTATAAATTTAAAATGCTTCTCTTAGATCTCGTTCCCGCTTACAGTTTACCATGATACAATCATACCCAGACAACACATTAACCTTGTCTCTAGCTATGAGTGAAACAGATTTAAATTATCACTAGACATACCCATATGCAAGCACTATTTTTCCCCAAACACTATAACCAGCACAGCTCCAGTGTGTGTGTAATGCTTTGAGATGAACTGACTTATTGTAGGTGTAACCAAATGTGTACTTTGGAAATAATGAAAAATATGGTAATGATCTTTCCTCTGTCTGGTAGCTATTATTTTCTTGGGACTTTTTTCCTCCTCTATTAGCTGTTTGTTTCTCGAAATCCTTTTATACCGATTACTGTCCTCATTCCATATTTTTATGTAGCTCAATTTTGCCTCAGACTAGAGAACTCTTTTATTTGGGGAAGAACAGGGGGTGTTTTTAAGCACTTTGTTTTAACAGTATATTCTGAAATACATATTTATCTTAAGATGCAGCAAACCCACTTTTCCAGATTTCAGTGTCCTCAAAATAATGAGTGTTGCACTGAATTTTTGTTATTTGTTTGCCAGTTTCCGCGTATTTGTCAGTTTCAATCTCTTCCCCTCTTCCCATGAAATGATGGAGCTGCTTATTCAGCAGCTTGTCAATTTTTGTTATCCGCTAGACCAGACCTAGCCAGTTGCAAAACAGGACAAGGTCTGTCTTCCTCTTCCTTGGGTAATTTTTGCTCTGATGTCTTTCCATATGTTTCTTCATTTTGCATTATTTTCAGCTGGGAAATGCCCAAAGGGGGTATGGAAAGAAAGGCAGACAAACCAGCCTAGAGAAGTTGATGTACAGTTTTGAAGTCAGACCCCCTCCAATCTTGCTGCAGTAATCTGATTTTTCCCGTTTAGTGATTTGTTGTAAGGCAAAAATTGATCATCTTGCCTGATACACAATTACAAATATTATCACATGCAACAGAAGCAAAACAGGAATCAGCAAGGGGGACAGTAAATTTTACTCCAGCATTACTTTAAAATACAGGTAGACCTCAGATTAAAATGGCAGTCGAAACTGGAATTTAAGGCAGTTGTAAAGCATGATGTCATATGACTGCATCACTGAGTAGCAGCAATTCAAGCAGTCGCAGTTGCCTTTGTATCCGCAGAACTGGGTTGTTAAGCAGGAAGAGGCAGGAATCCCAGGCATGCAGGTTGGTGGGTTAGAGTTACGGGTGAGCACTAGCCACAGGGAGGTAGGTGCTATGAGTGGACGCAAGAGAGTGTGGGCAGATGCCATGAGCAGGAATCTGCTATAGGTGGGCATTAGGGAATAAAGGTGGGTACTACAGGTGAAGAAGTGGGTATAGCAGACAGGCATTGGGGAGTCAACAGTCATAAATGTGGGCTGACCTGAATTTTGATCACATGATTTTGGGGGTGCTGTGATGACTAGCACTTTGAGGACTGGTTGTGAGTCCATCTTTCAGCCCATTATAATTTTGAACAGTCACTTAATGGACATAACTGGAAGACTACCTATAGTTATTCCCACACCCCATTCTGACATAGTCCTAGGTAGGATAACATCAAAAAAATCTATTGAGTTTTGTCACTCTAGTGGCAAGTGAGGTGTTTAGCAGTGACAGAAAACAGAGGCAACAGAGGCAGGGATTTGGATTGGTAATGGCAGATTTTTTCCCCTGCTGATTCAAGAATAAGTAAATAAAATTTTATCAGTGGGAAAAGGTCTAAGACAGAAGGGCAGAGTTCAGAGAAGCTAGCCACACTTTTATGAGCACAGCAGGCATTATTAACAGGCCTACGAATCACAGGAATCAACAGGGGACCTCAATGCCACTATCTCAGGTATGCAGCAAGTATGTAGCAGGTTGCATAATTCATACTGTTTTTAAAGGCACACATTATTTAAGCATTTAAAAAGCACTCCTTTTACTTTTACATGTGAGATATATCCATTTATTGTGGAATTTATGAATTAAATTCCCATGTACATTAAATACTGAAAAAGATATTTTTTTGCAGCAGTAGCAGCAAAGGACACCATCTAAAAAGCATGGAAGATGTATAGTATTCTTCTGGAAAATATCCATGTTTGTTTGCCAGAGCCTGTATGCCTTCTTTTGCCTCATGCAAACATATACTTATGCCATGGATTTATTTGGCCTTTATGGTGCCATAAAATAGGGTCTCTAAACGAAATTTTGGAATGTAGTGATGTGGTATCCAAAATCACATCAAGAAGAGCCTTGTGGCACTTTAAAAGCTAACCAATCGAGTGAGCCATGAGGCTTCAGGCAGGACAGAGCCCTTCATCAGACACCAGGGAAACTGGCCCTAGGCTGCCAACCACTATGCTTACTAGAGGCTGCAAATAAAGAACAGTAGATCATCATTATTTGATCCCGCAGGGTTTTTTCTCAACCCGCGGTGTGGGGAGAAGAAACCGATTCTCTCCAGCTACTGTGAAATAGTTGTCCCCAACAGGTCCCTCCGAAGGTGTTGGCTCCCACCGACTTACGGGCAGGGCGCCTGGTTGGGGAATCAGGGCTGCAAAGTTGCTCGGCAAGTTGCTTTCTCCGCCAGCGTGAGACCCAAGGCAGAGGCGGAGTCGCTTACCGGAGATGGTCAACTTGGGCTTCTCGGCTTCCGGCCCGTACCGGGGGTGCTGGTGCTGGTGCTCCGAGCGAGGCTGGAGGAAGGGGAGGTGCGCGGGCAGGAGACGAGGCGCCCCCGCGTGCTGCTGGGTGGCAAAACTGCACAGGAAGCCCAAGCCCAGCGGCAAGGGAGGGCCTCCTCCTCCTCCTCCTCCTCGCCCCGCAGCTGGCCCGCCGCCTTCGCAACTCGAGCAGGCTGGCGGCTGCAGCTCCGCCTCCAAGCCCAGGAGGTCTGTGATGGCGAAGCCCTTGGAGCGCAAGCCGCCGCCGCCGGCCGGGCCCCCCAAGCGCGCCTTCTCGTGGCCACAGGCGCTGCTGGGCGCCAGCGCGCTTCCCTTGGCTTTGCCCTCCGAGAGCTCCTCGCGGCCCGTCATGCTGCCGCCGCCGGTTGGGAAGGGGGAAGAGGCTCTCGGGCCGGAGCTTTATATCCCGCGCTCATCGGCGCCTGGATCCAATCAGAGGGGGAACGTGGGGAGCGATGGCGAAGGGGGGGCGCGGGCGGGCGCGCGGAGCAGCAACCGGTTCCCAATCCCGGATAATTAATTGCCACCTATTTGCCCGCAATCCGATCACCCTTTTCTCTCCGCCCCTCCCCGCCCCGCTTGCTGCCAGGACAGATTTCACTCCGCGTCGGAGCCTCTCTGAGCAAGGACCCGCTGGACTTTGGGGGGGGGGGGGCGCTCCGCTTCTTCCCCCACGCTCCGGCTTTGTGGGAAGGCGGGCAGAGCTCGCAGCCGCCCCAAACACGAAGCGCTGGGCACGCAGGGGCTAATGGTTACACCGCGACCCTGGCCTTTAGCAGCCCTGGATAGATTCACCCGGCTGAATAGATTCCATCCTCGATCCTTCCTACATAAAGAATAGCACATGTCTGCAGCAGAAAAGCAGAATAAGTTTTGGGCTGCCTCACGACACCCCCAGAAAGATTTCTAATTTCTGTTTTTCGTGACATTCAGTTTTCAGGCTTCCTCAAAGTGAATTCAATGACCCCACAGTGGAAGTTGTCCCCAACATATTTGGGGAACTTCATATTTTGAGCAGGTTTAACACAGGACATCCCAAGGCATGATAAGGCTCTGAGATTAATAAAAGTTACACCATCCAATCAACACCAAATATATAGTTTCCTGAAAGAAAACCTATTCAACAATTTTCTTAATCTGGATCTCCCCAGATATTTTGAGCTACCACCACTAGTACACTGGCTGGCATTGAAGGGAAATAGTAATAAAAACTGGTTTTGGGGGAGACCATCATAGCATCATCTTAGGCTAAACACTGGGGATCAGAACAAGTCTCTGGTTAAATTTGTACAATACATGAACTCAAAACCAAATCAGGTTGTTATGGATAAGTTTCCACAACATACTTGCTTGGGCCAGTTTAGTCCACTATATTGAGTAAACCCAGAAATTTATGAAGTTTAGCAACAGTAAGCAGCAGCGTACAAAGGAGGTGTCAAAATGTCAGGCAGATAAGACATGATCAAACCCTGAACCTTTTAAAAGGCTCTCACAGACATTTCAAAGAGTTGGGATTTCACATGGTCACACCTGCCATCTTACTTCTGAATTATTCCTTTTCAAATTATTCTAACAAAAAGGAAAGCATTGTAACCCAAAATGCCCTGTATGTTAGTCAAAACATTTTTCCTTAATCAGAGTCTGTAATATGAACCATATAATTAGTCCTCCAATGAAATGAAATAGATACAGAACAGCTGAATATGCAAGATAAGCTATTACCAAAGTCATATTGAAATGGTGGTTGTTATTCCTTGTACACCATTCAGAGTCAATATAGATTTGGTAACCATTCAACTCACTTCCCAAACTCCCATTGTTGTAGCACTATCCCCACTGCTATTTGCTCAATTATTGGGCAAGAGGAATAGATATCCTGGTTCCTTGTCACAGCCCCTTGTTTCTGGCACAAGAATTCATAAGATATCAGTCAGAAATAAAGGAACTCAATGAGGATGCTAAAATAATGGTTCATGATCCAGATAGTATGATCATTCACTACCAAGAGAGGAGTTAAGATTCATCTGCAAATTCTATCTATCCAAGTCAGCACCGCAAAAAAGTAGGCACTTCAGAAAGTTATCCCAAACAATTGTCTCATACTAAGCAAACAATCAGGGCAAGGCTTGGCAGTGACAGCCCATGTGGCAGACTGGCAGTCGAGGAGGAGAAAGAGAAAGACCTTGGATGTAGGAATGGCTAAGCAGGTTCTTCAGGACCTTGGACAGTCCCATGAAAAACATAGCATGTCTCAGTCTGGTCCTTTGCCATACTGTCTGTATATAGCCCAACATCTACCGTATGTCCTTTCCCACTTTGCTAGAAAATTAGAGATCTTTCAATAGATAGCAGTTTAAATAGACCAGGGGTGTCGAACTGCCGGCCTGCAGTCCAGTTGTATCGTACGGAGACCGTGCCCACCCCAGCTCCAGCAATGCAAAAAAAGTCGCGATACGTCGTGATACCTCACGTGACACGGCGAGTTTGACACCCATAAAATAGACAGTCAGGAATTATGCATTCTGTCATCTGTTCCCTGCCATGCCCATCTATAGTGGTGAGTGTGACCTGAATGTTCCTCCATGTGGACTGCAAGACCTCAGAGTCCCATTCTTCTAAGGAGTTGTGGATGGTTCTGTTTCCTACCCTTCCTTTTAACACATCACACAAACGTCTCTGTCTAGTAGAACTTCTATATTGTCCATTCCTTTCCATTTCACATGTATATATTTTGTTTTGGGAAGATTTAAAAATATATAGTTAAATAGAATACTAAATTCAGTCAAACATAAGTTAAAGAATAGCATCCATGAAAACCTGGGGCTATGCTCTTTTTTTAATCCCTGGAATTTTCAGTGAGGCATAGATTACTAGAAAAATGGCATACATATAACAAAACTATTTACAATATTTAACCTGTTCAACCTGTTCATTGTGCTCTGCTTTTCCGTTTCTTTTTTCTCTTCTCTTTTTCTTTTCTTATATGGTGGATAACATCTATGTGTAAAATTATTCCTGTCTTCAGGTAACTACAAGTTATTTCATTCTCGTACACAGAGTGAAATAGCATTAAAAAAAACTTAATTCTTATTGGTAGAAGGCTTGGGGACATAGAAAAGTTAAAACACAGAAGGAAAAGTTTTTTGTCGTACACATTAATCTCCAAAAAGAGAAATAATGTATGGTATTATTTGCCACCTCCTATGTTCTTCACAGTCAATGAAGATGGAATTAATTTTCAAGTAAGCAGTCTTGTTTAATTGATTATCAATCATTTCATTATATTCCACAAGGATCCAGTACAGTGGAAGCAACTTGCTTAGCTGTTCTCCTTTTCTTTGCCTGCAGTACTACCTGTGGTATTTACACAAGTAACATACTGTAGATTCAACTTTATTCCTGTTTCAAAATTAAACGTAAATTTTACATTAGCTGAGATATACATTAACTCTCTCCTTTTTATCTGCATTAATGACAGAAATCTCAAGTACAAGTGGAACACACCAGACCAAAAGGGTCATTTGTTTTTTACAAACAGAACACGCTCGTCCTCCATGGAGCAGCTTTTGCTTTGGGTGCCTGAGGAAATGAACCTGCCAGCTCTGTAGTTCATCTTTGAGACATGTTGATATCAGCCGTGAAGCTGCAATTCCCTGACAAAGTTATTCTTAGCTCTCATGGAATCCATTAATACTAAAATCTGGTGGCACTCAAGATGTCTTATCACACAAAGGGAAATGGAAAAATGCGTTTCTGTATTAAACCTCTGGACATGGGTTAATAAACTCACAAGGTAGAGGAATCTAGTTATATATCTACTTCCATTTTTTGCACCTGGATTGCATTTAACTGTTTCACCTTTTTTATGTAAACAATTGATAAACAAACATCAAGTGTTCTAAATCAGATCATTTTTTGATTTGGTCCTTTTCTGCTAAACATGCAGATTAACCAGGGTTTTCTGACAAAGATAATTACAAGAGCACTGTGTATTAACTTCACATTATTAAAGAAGGACTCAAATCTCCCCTTGCAAGCTGTTCTTGGGATTAGCAGAACAATAACTTTCATTTAAGATAATTGTGATGTGAATGGCTTGGGTTTATGATTTTGCTTTTGACTGTTACTCTTTGATCATTATTATTCTTTGTTTATATGGAGAATCTGGAATCTTGTTTTGAATTAGTCAGGTGTGAAAAATGGAAAAAAGCAAAAGGAGACTTAGTGGCTTTTATACAGGTTCATTAATGATAACACTATATTAGGGCTCCTAGTAATGTTCCTAGCAGCTCTGCTTGCCCCAATTGGGGAAAAGGAAATAGCTGCAGAATTTTAAGAAGTCACATTAAAGAACTAACAGGTGACAATAAAATAATTCATTAGATGAAGTATAAAGATCGGTGGATATAAAGAATAATATACTCCATATTCTATCATCTCTAGATAAATTTTAAGAAGAGATGTCTATGAAGGAAATGTACTGATCTATATTTTATACAAGCAATCCTTCAATTAAAAATATTAGATATGCCTGCTTACCATTTATAATTGTGTATTAACACAATTGCTGCACTGGATTGATATACTAAGCTGAAAAGTTAATTTAGGAAAGTAGTAATTATCTTTTTTTAGAAAGAAATTTTAACATGATCTTTAGTCTATCCTTCTAGCCATATTACTTGATGCACAAAATTGGCTTCAAATACATGTGCCTTCAGCCAGTCTCCCTAAATCAATTGAAATTATGCAAATTGGAAATAAGGGGAGGGCAACCTAAAACTAAGAATGGTTATTAAAATGGTAACCAGAATGTCTGATTTATATAGTACAGGAGAATATCATTTTTGGTGGGTTGGTTGCTTTGTTTTAAAAAAGCATCTTAAAACATCACTTTTGTGCATGGAATAATTGGTAGATTAAAGCTTCATACAATAAGTATATGTTTGCAAATATTCTATGCATTGACCTGATTTTTTTTTAACCAGGTTGGTTGAAGTTATCAAGTAAACGTTTCCCAAAAACACACACACAAGACCTCACTGAACAACCTAAAAGAAAACCTTTTCCCTTTTTTCAAAAATATTCTGCAGAAATGTTTGGTGAGTTAGAGAAAGAGCCACAGCTTGTTTCCCATCCATCTGACTCTGTTGCTTCCACAAAATCTTCCCTAATGTGGATCGGACCCTCCAGAGTTGGACCCTCCATTCTAAACAATGATGGTTGAGTATTGTGAGAAGTAAAAGTTCAACACAGCGCACCATCGGTTTGGATAGATTTCACCGGATCTCACCTACTGTACAGCTTTTTGATCCCCGCCCCGCCGCGTTTGTCCCTACTTTAGACCACCCTCG